TAAAAACACTCATATATGTGATAAATCGCCCACAGAAATAATAATATTTGTGGTATCAAATAAAAATAGTAAAAATAATTATCACAACAATGATAAAAATACTCATAAATCATCCAAACAAAAAACAATAGAACTCCAATTAGAAGGCATAAAATATAGAACTCTGTCTATGATAAGAATTACCAAAATATAATCGAACTCATCATAAACTCGAAATTAAAAACAATAGACCAGTCACATGAATAAGGGCTAATTACACTTTGATCTTTCAATTATGACCCTTTCTTTCACTTTATTCTCTCAACTATCACATTTTTTATATTGCGCCACCAATTACATATTTAATTTTACATTGTTTCAATTATTTTCATCCCTTATAAATGTTAGAGAAATTCATTTTATTTTGTCTCTTGAATTATATAATTTTTTTTATTTTTTCTTGATACTTTGCTTCTTTTTTTTTTCGTTCAAAAAAATAGCGAACGTTTTTATTTGAGGGAATGTGAAATAATTCGAATAGTTTAGAAGACAATGTAAAAAAATTCAATAATTTAAAGAATAAAGTAAAATTGATTCATAATTAAAAGGGTAATTTGTCCCATAAAACAATGAATAAATCTAATTAATTATAAGTACAAACAACTTACTTTTGACGGCACAAAGTCGTATGGGTCTTACTCACTGTTGTGTGTTTGTGGTGGCAGTGGAAAACAGGCCATGCCACGCCACCGGCGGAGGAAACGCATTGGTGTCCGTGTCACCATCTCCAAATCCAGCAAAGGTGGCGGTGGCGGTAGCGGAGGCAACAACAGTACGACGCTGTCATATCTGAATAAGGATTGTCGGCATCTTCAGCTGGATACACGTAGTTTCATTATCAACCAGTCAACGCCAACACTTCCACTATATTGTACTGGCATAAACGAGTACTAGGTGAACAGGTAACGCGACATCAACACGACGACATATTTTAGAATTTGTGTCTTTTTTTTAAGTCAATTAAAAGAAATATAAAATAAAACTTATTTAATATTAATTATGCATAATTAATATACAACACAAAATCGATATGACATAATTTGTTAGAAACGAATTACTAAATGGATAGGATTCGGGTGAAGTATTTTTTACACGAATATGCTAATAGTTTAAGAGCAATGTTATAGGGACCTAATGATGTGGGTTCAATATAACCATTGAATTAATTGTGAATTTTAATGTTAAATAGAGCTCACAACCAATTCAATTGTTGTATTAGATTAGGTCCCCAAATTAGATTCAAATAGTACTTTCTATAGTTTAAAACTCAACACAAAATCACCTCGTCTGACACGATTAACAAGCTTACGTGAACCCGTGCAAAATACGATATTCTGTTAAGTACGGTTAAAACGGAAGTGAATAATTAAAATATAAGACATCAAAATATTTATTGTCGTTATAAAATTAAATGTAGTCGACCCTCAAAAATTAAGACAACACTTTATTGAGTTAAGTTATCGAAAAGGTCAAATATAAATAGAAAAAGAGTTATGTGGTTAAAAAATTAAAATGTAAGTAATAAAATAAGTCATTAAATTTAAATAATTAATTTGGATTGTTGTACTATTTTTCTAAGTCAGAAGCTTAAAAAAACTTAAGCAGGACATATTGTTTTATTAAAATAATCTATAATGTACTATGCCAACTCCTTTAAGTAATGTTAAATATGAAAAATAAAGTTTATTAAGATAAACTCCTTTAAGTAATATAGTATAAAAATGTAAGGTATTTTTTTTCTTTCAATTTTTGGATTTATTGTTACACAAATTGTCACACAATTAAATGAGTTTCATCTCAATTTTGATATGACTTGCATCAAATAATTTTTTAAATAATTGGAACTTATAAGTGGTGAAACAAAATAAGAGAAAAGTAAATCACAATTTCGACATTTTGGGTTCAAAACTTATGTATTATAATGCAAATATGACTTGAACATGACGAGTTGTAAATCGCTAACATTGTGTCACAATTATTTTGAATTAGTTTTCTCCTACTCAAAAGACATTGAAACATTATTTATTCACTATTAACAAGATCTCCTCAATCCCGGATTCAGATCCCCTCAATCCTAAATGTCCCAATGAGAAAAAGGACCTCAATCCTAAATGTTCCAATGAGAAAAAGGAACAATAGTAATGAACAAAATATATTTAGATTCTTTGTATACATATTTTCATGTAAACATGACCCCGCAAATCTTGGAGACAAAATGCATTGAATTTGTCTGGTTCCAGAAAATATTGCGGGAAGAAACTCTCTTGCTGCTTCGTCGTTGGTTTACTTGCTTAATATTTCATCACATCTTTATCAACAAGCTAATCAAATGAAGATTCATTGGACAGCAACACAAGTAATGTGAATTGCGTTCGAATTGTTAACGTTAATCATATGAGATCGACTTAGGTATTTTCTATTACACTATTTCTCATATTTAGACTTCAACTGATCGAATTTCAATCACAATCTGAATCTGAATCCGTGTAATCGGATATGGACTAATATCCGAATCTAATTTGAATCTGTTTAAATATCTTAAATTAGATATAAATATATACAAATTTGATCAATTAATATCAATATATATATGTATATCTTTTTTTTTTGGGCAATCATAACATGGCACATGTAAAATTTTATTATTTAATTGTTTAATTTTATTTATTTTTATAATTAATGATAATAAATAAATCAAATCAAAATCTATGATACATATTATTTATTATTATTAAATTAATTTTTTTTTAAAATATACAATATCACTATGCAGACGTCTATAGCTTTCTTTTTTTTTTTTTGGGTCATTGACGTCTATAGCTAACTATTATGGTCAAATCTATACTTGAGCATGTACGACTATGAGTACGTGTAAAATGTGGGGCGGTGGACGTTGCCGGGTGGTGCGGAATATGGTGGGGAGAGGGTGGGACCAGGCCGGAGATTTGCGGGGTCTAGTGGAGTCTCCGATACCATTTATCCTACTTTCCGAGTTCCACCGCACGTGCAATATCGGTCAAAGCACGTGCCAGGTCTGCCTAAATTGTTGAGCAATCAATGGGCACGGCAGAACCATCCGACAAACAAGGATCAAGTTGGGTTTAATAACGGTTAATGATATGTCGCATTTATATTTAATTTTAGTTTCCTATGAAAAAATTATTCTAGTCGTTCCTATTCCTGACCCGTGAATAATTATGTATAATGGAGTTTTGTGTCTAATTAGATAGATGTTGTGTATAAATAATATTGAGTTTTTTTTCTTCTGGTCATAAATAATATTAAGTTTGATAATACCAACAATAAAGTCATCCTCAAAGATGATTTTGCTTGACAACAGACAGAAGACAAGTCTGCTTAACTTGGTCATAAGTCGAGATAAAGTCAACAGATTCAAATGAGTTGGACCATCAGAGAAAGAGAGACAAAGAGCATAGTCCATCTTCCGATCACAAAATTATTAGTATTACGCCACTTATTTCTAAAAAATCATTTCATACCTAAAAAATGTAGTCTCTAATAATTTAATATTTCCTCAAATATCCTAACAAATTAAGGGACCACTCGTGATGATTTGAAGAAGCCTTACCAATGAGTAAATATTGAATGCAACAATAATATCATGTTACCATTGATGACACGATATTACTAACCAATAGTAAAACCCTAAGTGAGTAAGGTGAATCTCACTTAAACTTACATGGAGGTAGAGTGAGAAATTATTTGTTTATATGACAAGTTGGTTATTAATTTTTGTGAAGTTTATTTGCTTATTTGTTTTAATATTATTGATTGATGATACCACATTACATTGTCATATGGTATCACCATTATAATGAATATTTTTTCCCAATCAAGACGATATGAATAGAAAAACCGTAGCCTGAAAGAGATAGATGAAATTGTAATCGTCTTCTTCCTCAAAAAGGCAATAGAAACCTCCAGAACAAGAAATTTCATTAGAGTGAATTAACCAAACTCTTCGATCGATGAACGATTTTATTTTTCTCATGTTATCCAATTTCTACTATCAATTCATTTAGTTCTCAATACACACCCAAATAACATTCACATTTACATTATCGCTACCTTAAAAATCTCTCTCACTCATATTCTTGAATCTTGAGCACCAACAAAGTTGATTCGTATAATGCTTATCTAAGTTTATATTTATTCATTTATTTAACGGATTTAGCGGATTCATTCGTCTACCATCTAAATTCACTAAATTTAAACCTAAACTTGCAAATTCTATATCAACTTCATGTCGGGTCCATTTGTGGTGCGTACAATTGTCGAGCCTAGATACACCAAGTCGGTCTTCAAAAACTAACTAATCTGACAGTTCATAATGAACCTCTCCTTTCTATTTTATTTTTCAAATTTTACTAGTTTTATGTTTTTTCTAATATTGGTGAGCCCATAAACTGAATTAAAAGTGAGCTTCATACAACTTTAAAACCTCATGCCAATCTAGGTCGACCCATGGCTTACTCCTGACTAATGAGCAGTAAGAAATTTTACATCATTTAACTGATAGTTTGGAGTGGTAATTTTCAATCACCTTCATACAATGGTGCAAGCTTCAAGCCTCTGCCGTCTGATTCACGTGTCACTAGGCCTGGGCCACAACGCCGATGAAGCGGGAGGGCACAGATCCAATCTCCGACTTTGACTGAAGTGGAAGGAAATTTTGTCCTCCAACGCCAAACTACTATAACTCCACCTTGTCGGAGGTGGAGCAGAATTTCAGAGTTGGGCCAATTTTTGCTGGAATTTAGGACATTTGTGGGTGGAATTTAGACCAGTTCTTTTTGGGGGAATTGGGCAAGTTTCTAAAACAACACGAGTATGCCCATCAAATAGAGAAACAAACACTCAGTTTTAGGATGTCTTATTACAAATTTTCATATAATAATATATTATATAATTTACATTAAAGTATCCATTAATACAAGTCAAAATCAAAGTCGAAATTTTTTCAGAAAGTATATCAGACTCCGATAACTGATTGGAGTTTGAGTTTGCCATCCGCCTCCGACTCTGTTTCCGTTAAACTCCAATCCGATGGAGTCGGTCAGATTTTTGGATTCTTACACACCCCCAAGTAAGATGCAACCCCCAAAATATATAGCATCAAGCTCCAAGCCTCTGCCGGCAAATATACATCGTGAGTTCAAGCATCACAAAGACGAGACATCACACATAAACCCCCCCCCCCCCCCCCCCCCTCCAAACCAACCAAAAAAAAAAAACCTACAAACCCAAAAGAAAAAAAAAGAACCTGTTCAGGAGAAACAAAAGAAATAACCAAAGCCATTGCAGCATTCTTGATCAAGTGTCAATTGCACTGAAAGCATTCATGAATCTAGGAATAGCGCTAAAAATTGATACCTACTCGATCAGTATTCTATAATCCGGACTTCAACCGGGACATTTTGAATCAAAGGAGAATGTTTTACTCACAAACTTCCTCATTGAACACCCGAATAGGAAAAACGCGAAGAAATCTATTCAATACATCAAATATAGCCAGGTATCGTGATCCAAAAGCAACAACAACAATAGCAGGTATTTGCAAATCATACATACCTAAATTAACATATCAAATCTTCAAAAAAGCTACTTGTGATGGGCAATAGGAATATTATACAGTAAGTACCAGCCAGAAGAACTGGTCCAAAATTACTCAAATTTTTCTCTGCCATAAAAAATGTGAAATGTTAAAACTCAGAAAGAAATTACATGGTCAGAAGAGGCCCCAAAATCTTTCACTAACAATTTTTCTTATCCAACGTGATCCCTCCCAAGAGATTAATGCACTGGAACTGAAGTATATGTGTATCACAAGTAACTGACCTGCCAAGAAATCCCATAAAATGCTTTTTACTGCCAAGGGCTCTTGCCACTTCGTTTTGAGCTGGTCGTCGAGCTAGCTTTCTGACAAATAGAAATAGTGAAAACAGTTGAAGTCAATGTTAGTGAGCGCTCTCTCTCTCACACACACACACAATGGAGGAATTATTATCATGGGTACCGATTTAGATTTCTTTGTCTTTCCCCGGATCCTGTTCTTTGGAGGCTTTAGTTTAAATATTCGGACCATCCAATGGTGAGTCGTAAACACCTATAATTATTTGGAGCCACAAGAAGGGCAATCATAGTAGGCATGAGTCCTCCACATCAAATGAAATTACAACAATAAAAACGAATGAATTCTAGATAGGTTCAGTAAAGTTCATGCAATATTCCACAAATAATTATTTTCAGGAGGAAATGAGTATAGGCATTTGCTTAATTACAGATAACACTATGAAGAAACTGCAACCCAAAATCAAATAGGGGACAGAACGAAAGTTGAGAATGCTGCAATCCATACATTTACTTGTGTGGATTGTCACATAGTCATAGAAGAATAAATCTTTGATATGGTTAACTCAAAGCAATCTCCTCCACAATATACTCAAAGCATTATACATCGCCAAAGAGTTAAACATTTCAAAAAGCAAAATTCAGCCATTGAGAACATCATACCTCCTCAAAATGGGTCAATTTAAAATGTTTCTTTCCAATTTCAGTTCCCCTGACTCTATCAAAGCCTTTACCATCTGTCTCCACAAATCTAGATAAAACAGATAAAATCAAGGATGTAAACTAGCAAGAGTCGCAACCTGCACAATCACCATATAAATAATGATGTTGAAGCAATGCACACCTGTAATAGGATAGTTTGTACATGAGGCAGTTTAGCATGGTCGGAGTCGCCTGAGAATCAATCCGGTACTGACCATCTCTCTTTTAGACAAAAGACAAGGTAAAAATTAGTTAATATTTCTTTTGAAAACTCCTCCGTGTGCCCTTGCAGCATGTTTTGAGGTTTATTGCATACCTCTGTTTTCGATTGATATAAGAAAAAATATAGGTAAATTTATTATCTGTTGTGTGATTTTTGGGTAGATTATTTGTCACCCACCACCCTTGTATTAATCAGGCTAAGCAAAACTAAGTTTGGAAATGCATACCATGGACCTGTTCATGCTGAAAAATGTTTTAAATAAAGATAGTGTAATATGCTTGAAGCATACCATGTCAATATGATGACATTTCTACTCGCATTATCCAACATATGATTGCATCATTGACATTTAGACATTACCATTATAACTTAATGATATTTAATTATTGATCAATATCCTGAAATTGTTTTATGATTATCATAAGAAAACCCAAAGTAAACACTACCACTCAGGCAAAACAAGTTATACTTACCTAAGGATGGAAAAAGGCTTCTTTTCTAAAAAAAATTAATGCTTTTTAAAGATTGATACTTGTTAGAACTCACTTTTTCAAAACTACTGACCCAGGAAGACCAAACCACTTGGCCCAAAAACCGCAACTTGTGGGAGAGGCGAATTCAGTTTCCTTATCCCATTGCCTATGTTCAAGTGAATTGGAGCAGACCAAAGTTAGTGCGGGGACTAATGCTCCACACCTAGGATGCTCTTGCATAACTAATTATTCATTTTATTCATAATTTTTTTCCTGCTTGCAAGTTATTTAACACTTCTTGCCATAGAGTACGAAATCACATATTCACATATAACCAAGTAGGCAGGACATGAGAGTATTATGCATAGTATTTGAGCGTTTGCATTCAACTTTTAATTACTAAATTGTAAAATACATGATGGGGTCAAAGCTCAATATCTGCTAAAGTAGTATTGTCAATTGGAGGATAATCGTGGTAAATTTCTATTTGCAATAACAATTGCTAGAACTAACTACTTACCAGATAATCAGGCTCCTTTATGTGAGGGAATACACCCCCTCCTATGCGAACCATCCATAGGAACTTATTAATATCATCACTAGGATAGCCAACAACACCTGAAATGTAAAGTCACCTTTTAGAAAAGTGTTTTATTTCCTCCCCAAATTTTTTGGAGTCTATCCTGAAGTAAGAAACCAACCTCCAAAGACAACAAGAACATATTTTACATCCAAAGACTGAAAAATTTCCCAAGCTGCCTTTTCAGGAGACGACATGGCAGTACCAACAGTTGCAATATGTGTGTTGTTCCAGGTATTATTGTCCACAATAACGGTACGGTTAGCCATAGCAGTTGTTTGGTAACCATAGTCCCACCAGGACGCAACCTGAAAGAATTTTACCGAAAATAATTGATATCGCCTAATAGCTTCATTGTGTTAAGAACTCCATGCTAAGAAGCTCAACAGAGATGCAATTGGCTAGCAGTCATGCCAAACATTAAAAAAACAGATACTAAACCATTTCAATACAAGTAAATAGATTGGGCTCAAACTTTTGTACTACATTGGCAATACCCTGGGCAACATACCCTTGAATTATATAGCTGGCTTCGTGATGATATTAGACTGTGCTCAATATTTTATCACTCCACTTTGCTATTATAGTGAGATAAATCCACTACAGCAACCTGCACTGATATGAAGCCATCCCCAATTTTCTCTTAATTCTAGTCCTTTCAACTGACATTTAGAAAGCAAGTATGACTTAATAAAAAATGACAAGAACGCAAGATTAAATCCACAGTTATCATCACTTCTAGAATCTTCCATTTAACTTTACCAGTCTGCTACCATCCTAGCTAATTAATGTACTCTTACTTTCATAGTGGCATAACAAGACGACATGGAGAAGAACCGTCCAAGTTTTAGACATGATATAAAATTCCAACCGGAGAATTGTGAAATCAAACAGATAACACTATAGTAGTATTGTACTAGTTCTTGCAATAAACTAAATACTCAACACAAAACTGATATAAGAGCACTTCAGCGCAATATAACTGTAAGAAATTAGTGCAAACATTGATGCATCAGACTGGCCAAAGCAGAATAAGTAGTGGTTATCCATAAGAATCTAGAACAGTAGAAATGTCGGTGGAGTAAACTGCATAAAACAGGAAGTATAACTCACTTTATCATCCTTTGATAAAAAAAAAAACTCACTTTATCATCCACCTCAGTATTGTGGCTCAACCATGCATAGGCCTCTCTAAAATCATCAAAAACATGAAGACCATCATGTGAACGAGATGTTAGCACAATAGAAGGGGCTGAATATGCTTCTGCTGCTGCCCAGACACAATGAACCTAGAAGAAGGTAAACAATTATATGAACACCACTGAAAATGAATGCCATTGAACAAGAAAGGAGAGACAAGAACAATGCTCAAGTATCCCCCAAGTAAAAAATTAAAACATACAAGCCCAAGAATTTGGATTTTAAATAGTAAAACTCTACGAAAGTGTGTGTAAATTTCAAATTATGAGAGCTAAGTTACACTCATTCATGGTTTCAGTATTTTATGCTTCTTTGGAATGGTGTTAGAGGATCTTGTAATGGTGCAATTGGGTACATATTATGTTGGGTTCATGAAGC